AGATGTGAACAGTATTTCTAAAGCCAGAGAGCTTCTTTACAGGCCAGAGCAGGAGCCCAAGCGGTCCTCCTAGCCACAGCTGGAAGCTCCCAGGTCGGGGGCAGCCAAGACCAGAGCCTGGTGGGATAAGCAAGGCTCATCCAGAAGAGCCAGAGGTATCTGTGGGCCCCTCGAGTTCCCTTCTCGGCACACCTTTTTCTCGTAATACTAATCGCCTTCCAACTTACTATATAATCACCACATTTATAATAGTTGTATGTGTCTGTGTTTACTGTCTCCCTGGTAGAATTTAAGCAACGCAAGAAAAGGGATCTTCGTTTTCTTCACTGCTAGATCCCCAGGACCTAGAACAATACCTGGCCCACTCTAGGTGCTCAATAAACTATTCGTTAAATGAACCAAAGGAGGATTGATACTCTGTTGGAAATGCCTGTCTGATCTACTCAGGTCTCCGAAGATCCAACAGTCCACATGCAGAGGCCTCCCCAGAACCCACAGTCCCCATCTCTGAACGGCAGTCCACTCACTACCCCCAAAGCATCATTTTCCATTCCTGAGCCCCAGATGAGACCTGCACCCCTCCGTCCTCAAGAGCCAAGCATAAGAGCTGAGTCATTGGGAACTTGGGAGCCTCCTCTTGCAAGACCCCAATCTGTTCCGAACCTATAATAAAAGCAACTGCCCCAGTCATGAGAGCTGAACCCTATACAGAGGAAAATATTTGCAGGGCAGCCCCAAGCGGAAAGCACTGGTACACGATGCTGAGAAGAGGTCCCGTCTGTGAGGCCCGGCAGAGGAAAGAGAATGGAAATCCTAAGGGGGAAGCCTCAGAGTAGGGGGTGGGATCCCACTCTCAGAGGACAGCTGAGTCCTGGAGGACCCCATTTTAGGGAGACAGGTTCTTGCCATGCCTTCCAACCCCCCAACTCTCAGGCCTAGGGGTACAATATGCAAGCAGAGTCCAGCCCCCTTTGTAAAACTTTTATTTAGAAATCTTCCCAATATATCCTTATATATATATACACACATCATCACCACATGGGTTTTGTTGCTAAAGAGTCACACGCCCACAGTGTTGGCCTCTGGGCTGTACAAAGGTCAAGGTACCTGGAGCGATCACTCCTCTTCTGCAGAAAAATGCAGAGACCAACGCTATTCATCAATTCATCACGTACAGTACAACATTGACGGAAAGTGCTGGGCCCGCCCACAGGAACACTGCGTTATGTACATGGGCAGGGGGCAAGCCTTCGGCAGGGGCCATGTACCACTGACATCACGAGTACGACCAGATCACCCCCAAGGCCGAGTAGTTGTCAGCTGACTACAGACACTGTGCCCTTGGTTTTGTCTTCAGAAAAAGATAAAGGTTGTACCATCTCATCGTTTGCCACTACAAATAAAATATGATTTTTTTCTTGAAAGATGGGAGGCTCTCCTGTTGTTAAGAGTCATCTTTGTTCTCATGGCTTTTTTTTTTTTTTTTTTTAACATTTTCCCTTTTGTACAGATATTATTCTTGGAATGTTGCCATTTCTTCATGGGTGAGGAGGAGGCAAAGGAAGGAGAAAGGTATGGTGTTGGGGAAAGGTGTTGGAAATGAGAATAAAAAGTATGGATCTTCTCTAGTTCTTACAAAGACCTGGAGCTTTGTGCTTCCCTATCCAGACCCATTTTGGGTAGCTGCACTACATTTTACATATTCTGCCCATGTTCCCATATCTCTTTTCCATTCTCACTCCTGTACCTTGCCTTAGAATAAGGCAGAAATGAGGTCAATCTGGAGAAATGAGGACAATCTAGATAACTCAGGCAAAAGTGGTTTAGAACCTAAGTTACCCAAATGCTGTGCAGTCGGGCAAACTGGCCCACTGGACTCAGGGTGGGAAACCCCACTGCAGGATTGCTATTAAGGGCAACAGAGTTCTTTATGGTCTCAGAATGCTTCCACTTTCATGATTCCACTCAGTTCACACCACAGCCCTAGGAGACAGGCAAGCCAGAGTATTGATGACACAGTGACAGAAAGATCATTTGTCCAGGTCACACAGGGAGTCTGAGAGAAGAGGGAGCCAGAAGCTTGAGTTCCTGATGGAATGTGCGATCCATCTCCTAACACCCATCCAACCACTCACACAGTGGCCGCCTTTCACTCCCAAGTCAGACTAATCCACTGGGAAGCAACACAGCCTTAGGACCCAGGACAGATGCTGCATCTTCAGACAGATGAGACTCCTAACAAGGCTTCCAAGCACTGGAGAGGAACCCATCATCATGTTCATCAAAGTATAATTTTGAGGGCTGACACGGGATGGAGAGTCACAGCACTACAAGGGTTAACCATATTGCTCCCATCCCTATGAACTGGACCTCAAATTTAAAAGGGGAGAGGATCAGGGAGCATTCCCTGTCTGCACACAGCTGTATTCGAGGTCGAGGCCCCGTCGTAGCAAGGGAAGCCCTGGGCTGAAACCCAAAGTGTGTAAGGGTATTTCCAAATAGCCACAGTGCTGGTTCTTCCATGTCACCACGGACAGGAAAGGGCCACATGTTTGCACCCCTCTGACCTCGAAGGCAGAGCCTGAGGGGAGATGGCTGGGTGACTTGAGCTTATGATAACAGGTAGGACTTCTGTGCAGCTTGTTCCATGGGCTTGAAACGCAGTTCACAAGTGGGCCTAGCCTTAAGAAAACCACGTCCCACCATCTGGATTGACACAGGAGATCAACGAGCGGGCAATGGTCCACTCTACAAAAGGATTCTTCACTTACAAAAGGACTTGTAGTAATATTTCTTTAAAAGATGAAGAATAAGGATTTGATTTACAAAAGTGTCATGTACAACTTTTGGAGGGGGGGCGCTTCTATTGCTTTAAGCCAGCCTCCCACACATACCCGTGATGACGGAAAGCTGCACAATTGAGAGGTGTTTAAGATTCTGCTAAGTGAATGTGCGTATGTTTGGGTCTCAGCCAGGGCCTGGTCTCTGAGTGGATTCCCCATGTCCTAGGATTGGGGCTGGATCCTGGGTCATATCAAAACCTAAAGATCCCACCAATCACTGTAGTCAAGCAAAAATCCCAGTGCCAGGGGGGGAAAAAAATCCCAAGTGCCAGGAATTCCTAGGTCAGAGTTTGTGCTCAGTTCAGTTCAGAACACAGACTAGACCATCAGCAAACAGACATCCTGCAGCAGGGAGGTCTCTCTGAGCATCTAGGAGAATGCACAGCTGGGGCTCGCATCTACACTCAGAACCAACACGTGCCCATCAGCACACTGGCATTTGCTCACCACGTGGACAGTGATGTGTAGCTAAAAATATAGGCAGGTAGCTCTGAGACACCACCAGAATTTGAATCCCATGTGCCCCAAATAGCTCTTGCTCAATTTCCTCTAATCATTTTTCCTTTCTCTGCCTTCACACAAAGCCCAAAGGGCAAGCTCACAGCTGTAGACTTGGTCCCCACAACCACAAGGATTAGGAAGGCAAGTTTCAGTGAAGAGAAAGAAGAGTTTCGATCTCCAGGGCAAGAAATAAGAGCTACTGTGTTTTCCAACCCTCTGACCCAGCTAGTCAGGAGCAGGTGGTCCACTGGCCATCTCCTTCAGCCAGGCCCTGAAGAAGGCACCTCAAGGCTTGTGACTCTGCAGCAGCTGGCAAGCTGGATGGACCAACGTGGGCCTGGATGAAGATGGGGCTCATGAAACGGGCAGCTATTGGGTACCTATATATTGGGACAGAGTGGCCACAAAAGCCACCCCAGCCAGTTTGGGAGAGGCTAAAGGCAATGCAGAGGCCGCTGAAAGCCTCAGGTGAGAGCTGACAACCCTAGGTCTCAGCAAAAACAGGGCTCCCAAGCTCCAGGCCAAAAGCAGTGCCACTAGAGCCTCTTAAGAAGTCTTAGGGATTTGGGGAAGGGGGAAGACCGTGCCGTCTTCATAAAAAGTACCTACCACTTTGCTCCATTTTTCTGTTCTCCTACTGAGGCAGGAAACGAGAAAGCCAGCCCCAGGGGTAGTTTGGGCTTCCCAAAGTTCAGCCATCAAAGAAAGCTCATCGAGTCCATTGCCTTGCTTCAGAGTTGCCCAATCTTCGCCTGCCTGCCCTGAAGCCCATAGTCCCAGAGGCTTAAAAGTGCCCTCCTAGCTGGTCCATGATGGCCCCAGACCCATCACCGAGGGCCGGCTCCATCAGTGGCAGGCAGCATAGCAGGATGAAGGCTGCGGGCCGTGTGTTTGGGTGCAGGCTCTTCTGTGTAGCTGTCTGGGCTGGCTGCCCCATCTAGAGAGCTGCCACAACTGGAGTTGGGGGACAGCACATCCTGCAGGAGGTCATCTGGAGGTGCACCGCCCCCTCCTCCACCACCCCCTCCACCAGCCCCCACCACAGGGTCCTTGCCAGGCTTGGCCCGCTGGGTGCCCTCCTCCTCCTGATCATTGAGCAGCTTGGCCAGGAAGTTGATGTACTTCATGGCCAGGCGGAGGATCTCATTTTTGCTGAGCTTCTTGTCTGGGGGGTGTGTGGGAATCAGCTTGCGGAGCTCAGCAAAGGCCCCGTTCACATTCTGCTGCCGCCATCTCTCCCGGCTGTTGGTGAAGATGCGCCTTACGACTTTGGTGTGGGGACCTAGAGGGCAGGAGGACAAGGGTTAGGAGAGTGGGCTGGAGATCTCCTAAGGCATCTTCTCTTGTGGGGAAGGAGACAAACCACCTATTGAGAAACTTGGGAAACCTAGAATGCCTTCTTTCCTTTTACTTAGAAAACTCTTACTCATCCTTTAAAACCCAGTTCATTCATTTCCTTCTTGCTAAGGACTTCCCTCAACCCCTCCAGAGATCTAACCAGCCACCATGGCCCTATAATCCCTGGGTCGCCATCACTCTTGATCACTGCTGTATGCTTCTATGTTTGTCTCTCTCTCTCTGGGCTGGGAGACATTTGAGGACAGGGACCACAAACCATTCATTTATTCACTCACTCACTTGTACTAAGGGGCCAGATAACACTAGTTATGAAGACAAACTCTGGAGCCAGACTTCCTGGGATCAATTTCTGACTATTACTCATAGTGACTCTGGGCAAGTTACTTAAACTCTCTCTTCCTTAGTTTCATCATATGTAAAATGGAGATAATACCAGTCACGCAAGTCATAAGATTATCACATGGGTCTGACAACTAACACTGGCAAAGTCCTTAAGACAATACCTGCCTCAGATTAAACATTCATTCAGTAAATGTTAGCTATTATTATCCATTCACCAGTTATTTCCTAACAACCAGGCACTGTGCTAGGCACAAAAGAATAATGGTGAACAAAACAGACAAAACGCCTGCCCTTATGGAGCTTACATTTTAATGAGGATGACAGATTATGAACAAGTGGCAAACGATAACAGACAGGAGGCCGAACATAAATTAAAAATGGAAAGGAGCCACCATGTTTAGCTAAGGTGGTTGGGAACTGCCTTTTGCAGGAGATGACATCTGTAAGGTAAGAATTAAAGGCCAAAGAAGGGAAGAAGGAACAGCATGTGCAAAGGCCCTGAGCTGGAAAATGGCTGAAGCCAGCCTGGCTGGATTAGTGTGGGTGAGAGCAGGGTAGGCTCTGCAGTAAAATGTGGAGATTTTATTCTAAGGGTGACAGAATGCACAGAATAAGGGTTTAGTACATGTTTGCTGACTGACCATGCTGACAGGTGGGGACAGGAGGAGAGAGCAGAGACCAGAGGGGAAAGGACTTATACAGTGAGCGATCCCCCTCTAGGATAGGAATAGAGAGAGAGCTATGCACAGGCTCGGGCTGAAGCTCTAGGCAGGCATCTGACGGCTGCAACAGCCTAAATGCCCAGGCCTGACCCAGGACTCCCAAAGCCAAAGACGACAGAGATGGGCCCTGCTAGTGCTCCTGAGCTCCTGGGCTGGGGTGGTCGCTTCTCCCCTCAGCTGAAGCACAGAGCCGGGCTCCCAGTAGTCCTTGGGAAGTCCTGCACACTAAAAGGACTGCCAGTCCTGGCATATTTGTTTGCTTTCTTCTGCTGACTCCTGGAACCCAGAATTGAACCCAGAATGTGGAAACTTGGGCAGGGGAGAAGAGCAAAGGAGTCAAGGCATCACTTTAGACCCACTGCTCATGTCACAGCTCAGGAGACTGAGGCCAGGACAGAGGCAGACCTTGCCTCTGAAGTCATTCTATGACCCAACGAATCCGTGCTGACACTTTCTGCTCGATTGTCTTTCTCTCCCCTACATGTGTGCGTACACGCATGCATGCGCGTGCACACACACACACACACACGCACATGCACACACCATGGTTTCCTGGGAGGATCACTCATCCTCTGCACTGTCTTTCCAAACCCCAGCAGGCCCCAGCCCAGCTGACTCTTTGCCAAAGGCCAGACCTAGGCTGGGAAACATACAGCACACCTGCTGGGCAGTCCTACCCCAGGTGCCTCAGAGGAAATAACTTGCTGTTCTCTGGCCTCCAGGCCAGACAGGGGGAGTCCTTCAGCTGTGACACAGGGAGAACCAGCCCCAGCTCCAAGACTAATGCTAACTGATCCCAAGAGAACGCTAGGTGAGAAGAGCGCTGTGTCTGCTGTCACAGCTAGAGCTAGACAGGCGTCAGAAGGAGCACTGACCCCAAGCCAGGCCCCCAAAACACTTTACCCCAGTGAAAAT